ACTGAATGAATAAATCATGCTCAAATTCAAATTATACATAATATCCCTTCCTTTATGACTAGCATTTATTTTCTTCTGAGTGCTCTGCCCTATTCCTAGCATGGTAGAGCAACTAGAAGTGCATGAAGCTGAATGTTTGTATAAGTAGTAAGTTGTTTAGCTACCATGATTCCTCTAATCTTCGTTTGCAGGCCCAATCCATTTAGATATAGAATAACGTCAAAACCCTAAATTTACAAAAATTACAAGTCACTTTTAATTGTTTCTAGGTGACTAGGTTGACCAAATTAATTTATCCTAAGTTTGAATACCACAATTTTAAAATTGCATAAAGTAAATGACACCAATATAATCACGGAGAAAACCCTTCGCAAAGGATCAAAAACTTTGGATACTTTGCCAATCAACAATCCAATATAAACAATGAGACTCACAATATGGTCCAAACCCGACTAACCCTTAGTTCCCTTTGACTTTCTTCTTGTAATCACCATGACCCTCTTGGACTGCGTGCTCCTCCTACCAGCCCCTGACCCGTGGTGTTGTTTATCTCCTGTGGACCTCTAAGAACGAACCTCGTTCTATTGCATCGAGACTCTAAGTGCTTCTTCTTAAAACTCCCGTAACTGAAAGCTAATTAGTGAAGGTAGATTTGATGTTTGATCAACGATCTTGTGTGTTTTGAATTGTGGTTTAATACGAAGGTTTATAGCTTGATCTACTAAATTTGGATGAATCTATGAATCAAATAATATGATGGTTGAATACTAAAATCAATGAAAGTGATATATATATATATATATATATATATATATATATACCTGATCATGTATTATTCTCCTTATGCACATAAAGGAGAAGTCGTATAAGATGAAAATCTCATTTACGATTCTAGAACGGAGATTCTTTTACATGAATTATGACTGGATGTCAACTCAATCCGAAGGAGTTCAAGCTTATAAATAAAAAAATAAAGAAAAAAAAGAAGACATCATTTTGTTGATTTTGTTCGAAAGGCCCTTCTTATTCTGATGGCCTGGCCTGGCCTGGCCTAGCCTAGTCACCGGGCCCCTTTTTTGTTACATGAATTATAGATAAATAATGATTTATTTGATTTGAAAACGAAAATGCTTGTTATTTATTATATTCAATTATATATACATATACATACACACACACACACATGCTAGTATTATTACACCAACAAGTATCTCTACTTAGTCTAAAGATGATTTAACTGAGTGTAAATGGAATAGTTCATCTTTATTGTTATTTTCTCTTGAAGAGTTTAAATGACTATCTATGTGTGACATTGTGTAAAAGCTTGGGATATTCTAGAAATCACAAATGAGAGAACTAAGACCATAAAAAGTCTAAGTTTCAAATGTTGACCATTAGGTTTTAAAAAAAATTAAAATGAAGGATGATGAGTCCTTTGATGAATTCTATGCTCATCTGAATCATACTATGAATTGGAGTTTTTACCTAGGTGAACGAATACCTGATGCTAAGATTATGAGAAAGGCTATGAAACCACTACCTAAGAGATTTAGACCTAAAGTCAAAACTATTGAAGAAACTAAGGATCTAAATGCTTGTAGAATCTCTCCAAACCTATGAACTTAGCTACTACCCAGTCTAAGAAAATTAAGTCTTTAACCCTAAACATTGTTAAGGAAGAGACCAGTGATCAAACTAATGATGAAATGTTAAAGGATGAGGAGGTTGCCTACTTTGTTAGGAAATTCAATAGAAAACAATAGGAATGATGAAAGAGAGAAGAGGAATGCTGGAGATAACAGGAGGAGGTCTTAATCTGTGAGGTGTAATGAGTGCCAGGGTTTTGAGCTTGTTAAAGTAAAGTGCCCAAATTTGAAGAAAACCCTAGGTAAGGCTTTGAATGCTACTCTCATTGATGAAAGTCTAGCTCCAATGTTGAAAGTGAGAGCGCCAATCCTGATGAGGGCATGAACTATTTGATGTTTTCCTCCATGGTTAAAAGTGAACATGTAGAGGAGAGTAAGACACTTAATGACAAAGTGCAATCTGACGCTTCATAGAAAAAATCAGAGGATGAGCGCTTTTAACCAATTGTTTGATGAAAATCTTAGTCAAAAAAGGTTAATACCTTTACCTTTAAGAAATTACACAATCTTGAGTTAAAAAAAGAAGAGTTTTAGGAGTCACACTTCAGAAGTCTACTAAAAGATTGAATGAGTTAAGGATTGAGAAAAAGTCCTTAGAAGTTAAGATTAGTACTTTTACGAGTGAACTTGAGAAATCTAGTGTCCCAACTTCAATCCTTTTCTAGAAGATCTAAGACGCTTGCCAAGATCTTAGGACTAAACCTAACAGGGATGGTTTAAGCCTTATAAATATTGCTACCCCATCTAAAACCAAGTTCATTCCTACCCCTGACAAGATTAAAAGTGTAGGATTCCTAAGACCTAGATGAACCGTGCAACATAGGTTTCCTTAATCTAGGGTTCAACATTTAAAAACTAGAGTTGGTCTTAAGTTCATTCCCACCTATCATAATTATGGTGAGTTAGGTCACATTATGCCTAGATGCCACAAGTTCTTAGTTAGGAACAATTCACAAGATATCACTTCTTGTGTTGGTTTTTTAACTAAATAGATGAGTCACTTGACTAATTTGATGATTATTTGACTAAGATGACGTCTTCTTCTAAGAAGATTTAGGTCAAAAAGAGTGAATACTCTTGTCAAAGTAATGTCACAAATTGCTATGTTGCTCGAGTTGCTCTTCATGGTAAGTGTTTGTGTACCTCATTAAGTAGGTCTTTAGTCGCATGCATCTACAATGTCATTTGTCTGCATATTCATGCATGCACTCTAATTTTTTCACTATCTCATTTGTTTTGATTCTATTTAATAAATTTTTAAAGAAAAAAGGAAAAGGTTTTTATATAACAATTTTAAGGTGATTGGACGTGGTATTTTATGATCAAGTAATAGTATTATTAATGAATGGCAAATAAAATTTCCATTAAATTTGTTCAAAATTTGCTTAGATTACTTGGTATAAGTTATTTCATATATCTTTTGCACTGCATACATTAAGCCTTTGTGAATGAGTCTTCATCGCATGTGTGAGATTTGGAATGGTGATCATCGGTATGTTGAGGTAACTTGGAATATAGATTGAACTTTAACTGGCTGAATTAAGCTCTTGTATATTCCCAAAAAAAGAAATTAGTATTGAGCTTTAGAGGAATTCATTAAAAAATTGTGGTATATCTAATACATTTATTCGTAGCTTTTATAACTTGAATAATTAAGCATGTTAAGCATCTTAAAACTTGTTGTACTATAGTGATCTAATTTGGGAGTTATCAACTTAAAGTTCATTACAGGGTCTATATATATGACCTGAATAAAAAAAATATGTATATATATGTGCTTACAGATGAAGGGTGAAAAAAAAAGTTATACAACGAAAGGTGAAGTATGTGCTTTTTTATTTAAAAGGTCATAGTAGCATCAGATTTGACTTTTATAATATGTGGAATATATATTCATTCATCAGTGATTTCTTTACATGCCTTTTCTTACTAATCTAAGGTTTAAGTCTTGTTTACAGAAGATTAGTAGCATTTTTTTACACATGGTTTGCTTATACAATATGCTCCTAGATTTATAATGAATTCACTATTTATGAATTATACTTGTATAATATAAGCAAATAATTGTTCATGTGATCATGTGATTTGAGCTTTTAGCATATGACGTTATATTTAAAAATTTATAAAAAAGAGTTATCTCTAAAAGAATTTTTTATTTTTTATTTACGCATTACATGTTCTGCATAGTTTGTCCATGTGCATAGTTTTTCACTCATTCTTCCTTGTGTTATTCATTATTCTATTACTTGCTTTTCTTTATTATTCATGACAAAAAGAGGAGATATATTAGTATTTATTTCAAGGAATTGAGTAGTATATGAGTTAGGGAGGCGAAGTTGATTGAATAATAGTGTTTATTTTTTATGTTTGAGTTAGGGGATTAATATTTTGTTGACGATATTAATGATTTGACTAGCATGATTTGATAATTTTCCTTATTAATACTATGTTATGTGTTTGGTATAATATTGATGTTATATGTTGTGTTGCTAATTTAGCTATATGATATTATATCTCAACATATCATGCCCCTATTTGTTTGGTGGGGATTAAAAATAAAGATTTTTAGTAGATTTTGATAAGAATTTGGTGGGAGATTAAAATTAGATTTTTAGTAGATTAAAATCAGATTAGACTTGTTTCTTATTATTGGTTGTTATTTTTAATTAAGCATTGTACACCTATTCACCCCACTAGGTGTTAAATAGGCTTAAATATCTTTATCACAATTGGTAGCAGAATGGTACCCCCATGCTTTTCAGATTGCAATGTTAATTTTAATCTAATATATCACTATCTTGACTTGGAATTACATAGCTATTAAGTTGTATATGATTTATAGTTTAATTGATTAAGAATCCCAAGTTGCTATTATACATACACTAGGCAACTTTACTAGTTTTTCTCGAGTAGGTAAACAACTTGACTGCAATATCAATTTTAATATAATATGTCACTCCTTACCTTCAAATTATAAAACTAGCAAGTTGCATATGATGGCTTTTTAATTGATTAAGAATCCCAAGTTGCTATTATACAATAGGTAATTTTACTAGTTGTTCTCGAGTTGGTAAACAGCTAGATTGCAATAACAATTTTAATATAATATGTCAGTCCTTATCTTCGGATTATAAAAGTAGCAAGTTGCATATTATGGCTTTTTAATTGATTAAGAATCCCAAGTTGATATTATACAATATGTAAGTTATATTTTTTTCTCGAGTAAATAACTTGACTGCAATAATTAGTTTTAATATGATATGTCACTGTGCCGACTTTGAATTATAGAACTAGCAAGTTGCATGTGATGGCTAATTTAATAGATTAAGAATTCCAAGTTGCTATTACACAATTGGTTATTTTTTAGTTTTTCTTACCAAGTCTTCATTTTGCCTCTAAACGCTGGCTGTTCATCGAAAATCTTGAGTTTGAGTGCCTGGAAAAGTATTGGATATGGCTTATGCTGCTTTACTTTCACTTGCTCAAACACTAGAACAGATCCTGGGTTCTCGCGTTGAAATTCGAATTTTTCATGACGAGAATCAGATCAAATCTTTCCATGAAAATCTTTGCTTCTTGCTATCATTTCTGGAAGATTCTTCACCCAGAAATACTGAATCAATGACATGTTTGGAAGCCAGAATCAGAGATGCAACATATGAAGCAGAGAACATAATTGAATTGCATATGTCAAAAGAGACTCTCTCAGAATCTGCAACATATGAAACAGAAGATATAACTGAATTTCATATGTCAAAACAGATTCTCTCAGAATCTGCATGTCAAGGAGTTATCAGCTGTTTTTGGGAAATAATTGCTGCACTTGAAATTATGTTGCCCATGTTCCATAATTCTGAAAAATATGAAAGCTTACAGAAGGTAATAAAAGAGATTGATTCCATTTTGGTAGATGTGAAGATGGCGGACATGAACGACATAGAAGGTTCATCAAAATCTAGTTCCAGTAACAAGAGTGCTGTAGTGGGATTTGATAATGACTTGATGCAAATTACAGATCCGCTCTGTGGACCACCTCCTGAATTCAAAAGCACCTCAGTTGTTGGAATTGAAGACACTGGTAAGACTAAACTGACCAAACTGCAAAGATCAAATCATATAACGACTAAAGTACATTTCTTTGTAAAAATCCATCACATTTGCACTTCATGACTGCCAATTTACTGTTATTAGCTGCATGTTATTTATGGATAATCTTGCTTGAATTACTTTTATTTATATCTCCATACTTGTCTATCTGCCTTGTTTATTCTTAAAGTTTGAGATCATGAAATCAGAGATTTGTACGTCTAAAAACTCCCTAAGACATCAAAATGCAAATTAAAGGTCGGATGGTCAACTTGAATATATTTGTGGCAAAGAAGAAAGCTAAGACCGTCCATGTCATGTTCTAGCCAAGAAGCACTTAGAAGTTAGACATAATTTAGTTAAAATTTCACGCTCGATCTTTTGAAAAGAATATGACAAATAATTGAAGTGACCAATATTTTTTAAGGTCATTCAATCAAAATATTTTTTCAGTCTTTCAATCTCAATTCTTTTTCAGAAGAGGTGGTGAATGCTAATGACCGAAATGACGTACTAGATCTGCAACCAAGGAACTCTTTGCATGCCACTTCATCAAAATCTGCTTCCACTAACAAGAATTCCATGGTGGGATTCGAAGATGACTTGCTCCAAATTAAGAACGAACTGGTTGGGCTACCCTCTAGGTTGAAATTCATTTCAATCGTTGGGATGGGAGGCAATGGCAAGACAACACTTGCAAGATATATTTACAATGATTCATATATTGAGTATCACTTTGACATTCGGGCCTGGATAACTGTGTCTCAGGAATATCATGTGCACGAACTGCTTTCACACCTTCTAAAATCCATGGGAGACCTCACTGATGAAATGATTCGAATGGATACAGATGAATTGAAAACACGATTATATCAACGTTTGAAGGGCTATAGATATCTCATTGTTATGGATGACGTGTGGGATGCCAAAGTCTTAGATGAATTTAGAAGGATATTCCCGGATGACAATAATGGAAGTCGGATAATTTTGACTTCTCGGCTATCCAGTGTCGCTGTTAATGATGATTCTTCTGGCCATATTCACCATCTGAGTTTTCTAAGTCCCAAAGAAAGCTGGAAACTTCTGTGCCAGAAGGCATTTGGGAAAGAATGCTGTCCCCCTGAACTCGAGGAAATTGGAATGAGAATAGCCGAAAAATGCAAAGGACTTCCACTTGAACTTGTAGTAATCGGTGGTGTCCTCTACAAAGCTGAGAAGACACGAGCCAATTGGGAGTATGTTGCAGAAAATGTGAAATCTGCAGTAAATGGAAATGATGATAATTTAATGGAAATACTGTCTTGGAGTTACAACCACATGCCCCATCGTCTTAGAGCATGCTTCCTTTATATGGGAGTTTTCCCTGAAGATTATGTGATCCATGTCTCCCATCTTATCATGCTATGGGTTGCTGAGGGATTTTTAAAGCCAAATACGCATAAAAGTTTGGAAGAAGTAGGAAAGGAGTATTTGGAAGAGCTTATTGATAGAAATCTAGTTATTGTTCGAGACCGGATTTACAATGGGGAAATCAAAACCTGCAGCATCCATGACACCATTAGAGAACTTTGCATGAGGAAAGCACAGGAGGAGAAGTTTCTTTATGTCGCCAATCAAGAATATGACATTTCTTCGGAAATCATGGAAAATCAGCGTTGCCTAAGTATTCATTCAAATGGGCAGACTGCAGGCATAAATGACTCAACTATCCGTTCACTTCTATACTTCACAGAGAGTCCATTGCCAAATCCTCTATGTTTTCAGCTGCTCAGGGTGTTGGAAGCAGGAAATATAAATTTCTCTGAGTTTCCAATTGAAATAGTAAAACTTGTTAATTTAAGGTATATTGCTTTGTCCTACAGTTGGAAATTCGTGATTCCTCCCTCAATATCTAAACTTTGCAATCTTCAGACCTTGATTGTTTTTCAAGGTTATAAGGCTAAAAGATTGATCTTACCGGAGGAACTCTTGAAGATGCCACAGTTAAGGCATCTCTTGTTCCATAATGGTGTCTTGCTTTGTTCTGATGGTCCACAAAATGTGAACCTACAAACACTTTCTGGTGTAATAGATTTCAAATTGACTCAGGAGGCCCTTCGAACAATTCCTAACCTGAGGAAATTGGGAATTTCTTACCATTGTGAAACTCAAACTGAGTTGTCATTCTATTGTCTTGAGAATTTAGTCCATCTGCATCAACTTGAAAGTTTTAAGTGCAATGTCACTTCCTGTTATTGTCCATATGTTCCTCTGCCTCAGAACCTTGCTTTCCCACCAAATCTGAAGAAGTTGACTTTGAGTGGTTGCAGAATTTCTAGGCATAATATGTTTCTTGTTGCTAATCTTCCCAATCTTGAAGTTCTCAAACTAAAAGAGGTTGACTTCAAAAGAAATGCATGGAAAACGGAAGGGGAATTTTCTCGATTAAAGTTCCTGCATGTTGAAGCGAGTCATTTTAAAATCTGGGAAGCCGAGGCAGCACATTTTCCTAGCCTACAGTGCCTACGTATTAAGGGTTGCACGAGTTTAAAATGCATCCCTTCTGGAATTGGAGAAATTCTAACTCTTCAGCAAATCATCTTGGATAGATGTCCGCCATCTGTTGTGAATTCGGCAAATTCAATACTAAAGGAACAAGAAGACTGGGGGAACTATGACCTTAAGGTTCATGTAAATTCCAATTCTTATGGATTCACAGATTTCCCTGGCTCCTACAATCGTGAGGTAAAAGTAAGTATCTACTAAGAAAAAAGTCCATTTATATTAAGTGCACTGTTTATTCAACTTTAGTCTTTCAACACTAAGCTCTCACCAAAATAAACTACATAAAAGGTATGATACGTGATAATTTTTCATAAACGAGTGATAGCAAAGCATGAACTCTATCTTCTATTCCAATACTTTGTTAGCCTATTAAAGTGGGACTAAACATATTTCTGAATTTAGAACCCCTTTATTTTATTTTATTTTATTTTGGCTCACAAGAATCTTTACTTCATGGATATAGCTTGTTTTGTTTACAAGTACTTAACTGGGTGCAAAGTTGACTTTCTAACATATACAATGGATAAAACCTTTGATTCGGAGAACATATTTGGGTGCCCTTTGTTTCAATTCAGGATCTCTCATTCAGAATCTGAAAGATCGTGTTTCAATTGTATATTGGCTTGAGATTAAAGGAGAAAAGCTTAATTTCGATCAATGTAGACAAAGGTCGTAACCTTGCATTTATTAATTTTGTTCAAGACTTGGGATGATAAAATGAGTTTAGTCTACATGCCAGGGGTCATGCGAAAACAATATTTAAATTAATGAATATAGCTATGGTTTTAACTTCAATTACAGTTTAGACTTTACATGAGATTTTGGGATGGGTTATATTTTTTTTGGAACCAATTTTATAAACTAGAATTCTTTTTTCCCTTCCTTCTTTTTTTTTTTTTTTTTTTTTTTTTTTTTTTTTTTTTTTTTTTTTTTTTTTGAG